ATATATATAATATATATATATATATATATATATATATATATATATATATTATATATATATATATATATATACATATATATATATATATATATATATATATATACTGAGGGCGGAGAAGCTCATATTTAAACACTAGGTCCACATTTACTATTCCTCTGTCAAAGACGATATATTCCTGCGAATGAATAGCTATGTGGGTTACGTAGAGTTTATATTCATTCTGGATATTTGTGGAAGTTATATAGACGTGCGTGGGAGCGTGTGGTTGTATTTCTGTTAAACGTTAATCTGTTAGCTGATCCCGTGTGTTCTAACAAGGTTGTCTTTGGTACAAGCTTGCTGCTGTAGTCTTTCTATATCGATCGTAATCATGTTGTTCACTCGCGTATAGCAGGCTTTACAATACTGCTTTTGCACTCGGATTGCGTATATCTACCAAATACTCAAAGAGCCCATTCATACACGTGTATATATCACACGTGCTGTCTCGTCTATTTAATACAGGTTTGCTATTCACGGCATGACTGAGGGGACCTAACTATGTGCGACCCTACACCGCGGTCGCCATCAAACCCTAAACCCCTAAACCCCTAAAACCCTAAAACCCTAAAAAAACTAACCCTAAACCCAATACCAACACCCCTCTGCTTTTTAATAGTTGTCGGCGTATAGTCTCTGAGGTCCCCCCATACTTTGCTTCCGGGGTTACCTTCTGATTGTCCTCTATTTTTACAGCTATACAAGGCCACCATCTCCCCTGGTCTCCTTCCATTCACTCACTATAAATCGTCCTCATGTCATCTAAATTCTTCTAAAAGTGTGTCTCCATACATACCAACAGGGTGATGTCCTGATTTCGCGCGTATTCAGGGCAAACGATGTGGGCCGGTCCGCTGCCGATGCATTCCGGGTGCATGTCATCCACTCGCGTCACGCCATACGCTCGCCTATCATGACCATAGGCCACACCTCCTTCTTTCACATCTACACGGGTAACGTGTATGTGTGCGCCGTTACACGCCAGAATGTCAATGCCGCGCTGGTTTTCGAGCTGCTGAGATGTCTGGTGGAGGTGTTTAAGGTGTGTGTCCTGTTTCTGATAGTAGTTGGGGTAGGGTGTGTACGGCCTGCCCTCAATTACGAGACCAATGGTGCATACTTGTATCTTGAACTGCCGAGGTGTATGGTAGATATGTACAGGGTAACGCCTATCTAGATCTGCTGCTAGTCGTGTGTGCATTTGTGTATGTATGACTCGGGGTATAACTACTTGGCTGTAGAGCACCAGCAATGTGTATACATGCGTGTAGGGAACACTCATCTAGATCTGCTGGTAGTAATGTGTACATGCGTGGATGTACAACCCGAGGTTTGTTTACTTGGTTGTAGCACACGAGTAGGATGTGTACATGCGTGTATGTACACCTCGAGGTATGTTTACTTGGTTGTAACACACGGGTAGTACGTGTGCATGCGTGTATGTACACCTCGAGGTATGTTTACCTGGTTGTAGCACATGAGTAGTACGTGTACATGCGTGTATATACACCTCGAGGTATTTTTACTTGGTTGTAGCAGACGAGTAGTATGTGTACATGCGTGTATGTACAACTCGAGGTATGTTTACTTGGTTGTAGCACACGAGTAGTATGTGTGCATGCGTGTATGTACACCTCGAGGTATGTTTACTTGGTTGTAGCAGACGAGTAGTATGTCTGTCTGCGCACTGGTGCGTCGGAATGTGTGTGGCGGTGAGTATTTGAGCTGTGACGGTGCTCCGTGACGGTATTGTTGTACGTAGTTTTGGCTGTATTAGTGCGTGTGTATACTCGTCTAAGTGGATAAAACCCTGAACCCAAAACCGTAAACCCTGAATCCCCAACCCCTAAACCCTTTAGCTGTACTGATGGATATGTATATGTTCTTCTGTACTCTAAACCTTAAAACTCTAAACCGCTATACCCTCTAGCTATATGAATGGGTATCTTTACTCGTCAAATGTGTGTTTTTATGTATGTCTGTCAATATATATAGTGGCACAGATCATACCTATAGCTGTTGATATCAACAGTTTGCATGTTGATGCATATGTATATACCTTTTATAGTTGTCATCATGTTTCTGGGCCATTTAAACCGATTTTATGTTTTTAGGGGTTTTATATACATTTGTGACGTCTCGCTCTCTATTGTATGTAAGCAACCAGTCCACTTCAACTCTCTAACCGGACCGGTCCCCTTTTTTGGGTGCAGGACTACTTCGGCGACTTCGACGAGAACTCAATAAAGAACAACTTCAGTCTGATGTATGAGCTATTGGATGAGGTGTTGGATTTCGGATATCCACAACGCACCGAGAGTGAGGTTCTTAAGACATACATCACACAACAGGGCGTGAAGAGCGCGTCCCAGAGTCTTGTAGAACCACAGGTATGTGTACGTATTGGATTTGCATGTACACGGATATATATATCAGAGTGTTTGTCACAAGTGTGTCTGCGTCTTGGATATGCATGTACACGGATATATATCAGCGTGTGTAGGGACGTATTTTGTACGCGTGTATAAGGGTCATACAGCTGTGTCTAGAAGTTCAGTACTGAAAGTACCAAGCCATGCACTCATGTAGATATATACGCACACACAACTATAAAACCCTTGTACTATGTAGAAAAGTTTACATGAACAGCAAGACATCGATAGTTTGTTGTGCGTAGTGTATGAAGAAATATACACACACATTTATATTATGTACTTGTTTGTACTATGCAGAAAAGTTTACATGCACAGCAAGACATCGATAGTTTGTTGTGAATTCGGCTTGAGAGTAGCATGCGCCCAATTACGGCCGCGATGTCTGAAACGGCGCCGCAGGTGTAGTAGTTAGTCTCGAGTATTCACAAACATCACTCAAATGTTTTATTTCGTCTATATTCTATCCAGAATTAAAACCGGTTTGATCGTATTTAGTAATTAGTCTCGGGTGTTCACAAAAATCACTCAAATGTAATAGTGCTTATATCTCTCTATCTAGCATTGAAATCATTTTAATCGTATTTCGTTGAGTAATTAATCTCAAATGTTAATGAACACCACCAAGTGGTATCAATACGTTTACCTCTTTATCCAGTATCAAAGTCGCTATGCTCGTATTCTGTAAGTACGCGTGTGGAGCGCTTTGGTGGCTATGTGTGTACTCAAGGGTACGCTATATATCTTATGTATGATCCTCGTGTACTGAGCATGGATGGAAATCGTGAACACGAAACATATACGTTGAACCAAAGTAGGCTCTACCACAGTCTTTGCTCGTATATTCCCATGTTTCGCTCATGCTATTAAGACTATCTGTGAGTGGAGTAAACTGCATGTGCATGTCCTTGTGCACTCGCTTGTGCGTGCTCCTGTGTCAGATATGTGTAGTATATAAATTGTCGCATATAAAAACATCGACAAATGCACACTACACTCGACACACCTATAATTAGAGCAATACACTACATAGAGATAAACATGAATGCAAATATATACGTCTATCGATGTATGGCAATGGTGTATATGGCACAAAGAGGTACTTCTTCATTCGTATCACACAATCCAAACCTTAAACCCTAAAACCCCAAAACCCTAAACCCTAAACTCCTAAAGCCCTAAAACTTGTTTGCTATCATTCTACCTATTCATGACAGAGGATCACTATGCAAGCCACCGGCGCGATGTCTTGGAGGAAAGAAGGCATCCGATACAAACTAAACGAACTCTTCATCGATGTCATTGAGACTGTCAATATGCTCTTGTCGCACCAGGGTATGTATTCTCTCATCTCTCTGTGTCTTTGGGTGTGTCTCTCTGTGTGTGCCTTTATGTGTGTGTCTTTGTGTGTGGTTGTGAATAACCTGTTCATATGTCATTGAGACTGTTAATATTCTCTTGTCGCATCAGGGTATGTCTTCTCTCATCTGTCTGTCTGTCTGTCTCTGTCTGTCTCTGTCTTTGTGTGGTTGATGATATCTGTTTGTTTCCGCGGTTCGTGCGTCAATACGTACATGTGCCGTGTGTTTGTGGTGTAGCTAGTGGGCACGTGCTTGTGTAGCTTGTACACATCCGGGACCTTCTGTTTTCTGGTCCAAACTGGCGAATGTATCGTACATTACGTTTTCTAGTGCATATATACGTTTATATGACCGTGTGATACCATCGAATGTATCGTACATTACGTTTTCTAGTGCATGTATACGTTTATATGACCGTGTGATACCATCGAATATTTCGTACATGACGTTTTCTGTGCATGCATACGTTTGCACGGGCGTTTTTATTGCTGGCCTGGTATTATCTACCCGAATACTTTTTCAGTCACAATGTGTTTGCACGCCTGTCAGCGAGCCAAGCCATCTGGCGAATGAGCTCTCACATGTGCACACATCAGGTGATCTGGGTTCTAAGCCCTAAACCCTATACCCTAAACCCTAAACCCTAAAAATCGGTAATACAAGCACAGTTTAGTGTTTAGTAGTCTTAGAGGTTTAGGGTTTAGGGATTTTAGGGATTATTCTTAGAGAGACGCCCATTCGGGTTCTGGTTAGTACTTGCCTTGTTTACACTATAAAGATTTAAAAGGGTATGGGCAAGGTGAATCGAACCACGTGCACAGCCGTACGACCTCGGTCTAGCTAGTACTCTACACAATCACGGTTTACTACACAAGTGATATGTGTGTCAGTATGCGCTCAAGATATACGTGACAACACGCTGTCAAGTGTTAATGTTAATGTATGGATACACCTTGCGTGGCCGTAGGAGGACTACTTACACTTCCACTTACACTTACATTTACATATACACTTACACTTACACTTACATTTACATATACACTTACACTTACACTTACACTTACATATACACTTACACTTACACTTACATTAACATATACACTTACACTTACACTTACGTTTACACTTACTTACACTTGTATACTTACACTTACATTTACATAAACACTTACATTTACATATACACTTACACTTGTATTTACATATACACTTACACTTACACTTACGCTTACATTTACATGTACATTTACATGTACACTTTCACTTATACTTACATTTACATATACCCTTACACTTCCACTTACACTTACATTTACAAATACACTTACACTTACACTCACACCCATACTTCCACTTACGCTTGCACTCACACTCACACTCACACTTACACCTGTCCCTACACTCCCTCTACCCCACCCCCTGCCACACAGGCGTAGAGCTGAGTGCGGATGTGCAGGGATCGGTCATGATTAACTGTCATCTGTCAGGCATGCCTGAGTGTAAGTTTGGTGTCAACGACAAACTCTCATTACAGTCACGGCGCAGAGGCAACTCTGGTTCGAGTAAGGGTGTGGATATTGATGACATATCCTTCCACCAATGTGTGCGTTTGGGGGGTACAGATAAGGGCATCACATTTGTGCCGCCAGACGGCGAGTTTGAATTGATGAAGTACCGTCTTACATCCAAGATCAGCCCTCCTTTTAAGGTAAGGTCGGCGGTGGGTCACTTTTGTCCTAGTTTTGTGAATGTGTAATGTGTAATGTGGGTTGATGTAGTTGATGGTGGGTCACTTTTGTCCTAGTTTTGTGTAATATATAATGTGTAGTGTTGGTTGATGCAGTTGGTGGCGGGTCACTTTTGTCCTAGTTTCGTGTCTTGTGTAATGTGTAATGTGGGTTGATGTAATCTCGTGTATCTATGGTTTCGGATCAGTCATCACTACTGTCCTATTACATTCTGGGTGTGTAACGACTGTGGGTGCTGGATTGAAGTTCGGTAGTTCAGCCTTTTGATATTAAAAAGTAGTGAGCGACGGTATGCTTGTACTATCCTCATGCAATAGGGTTTACCCTATAACCCTAAACCCTGAAACCCTAAAAGTTCATCAGCGACACATCCAGCGTGATAGATCGGGTTTATCGTGGTTGTTGTGTGGTTTGTCACCGCTTGCGTTCGATTAGTATAACTTGCGGTGAAGTTACACTTCCCTTGTCACGTGACTTTCTGCGCTCAGTAGGGATAACGCAGTGGTATGGATGTGGGCAGTCATCGGACTCATGTCCTATGTATACAACATATTGAAATACGAAAGTGTATATACTGAATATTCATACATATAAAGACATGTATATATACACACATTTAAATCATTTATACACATGTCCATTTGGTGTGAATCTTCACTTTCTCGCTCAATACTATAGCCCCACTCTATATTTAATACCCCAGCTTATTCCGATCGTGCGCGATTTGGGGCGAACCAGGATAGAGGCCAAGGTTGTAGTCAAGTCACTCTACAAGACCATGCTGGTTGGTAACAACATCGAAGTGCGTCTCCCATGCCCCTCCAACACAGCCCGCGTGAAGCTGTCGTGCAGCAAGGGAAAAGCCCGATTTAAAGCCGCCGAGCAGGCGGTTATTTGGCGCATAAAGAAACTGGAGGGCCAGAAAGAGGTCACACTGAGTGCGGAGATAGAGATTGTACCCACGACCGACCGAGAGCAACGGGTGACTAACAAAGCGCCCATCTCAATGAAGTTTGAGGTATATATATATATATATATATATATATATATATATTATAGTGTGTNTGATA